GCTCCGGGGCCTCTCTGGGCTCTCAGCAGCATCCCAGGGCTGGGGCAGCTCTGCAGCTGGGGTCTCATGGGGTGGGTCCTGAGCAGGAGGATCCCACAGAGCCCCTGCAGAAGTGCAGGAACTGCAGTGGAGCAGAAGGAGCCGGCACAGGCCGGGCTGAGCTGGATCCCCCGTGTCAGCCTCAGGATTGTGCTCCAGAATCAGCTGCTGCTCCAGCCGGAGCTCCTGGGCGCCCGACTCTCCTCTCCAGGCTATAAATAGGCCGGGTGGCCCCGTGCCAGGGGCTGGGAGCTCACCCAGCTCTCACAATTCCCGCGGGTCCCTCGGCGAGGGCGGCGCCAGCCAAACCCCCAATTAACAGCGCTGCTGCTGAGAGCTGAGCTGAGACAACAGCCACCAAAACCCCGGGGCAAAATGATCCCCGAGCAGCTCCAGGGACTCGGCAGGGAGAGGGAGGGCTGGGATTGTCCCAGGGCATCCATCACCTCCCTGCTGCCCCTGTTCTGTGCCAGCACCCCCAACACATCCCTGTGGTTGGGAGTAATGAACCCCACCCCAACGTTTATCCTGTTAATTCCCAGGGAATCGCGGCCTGGACAGCTGATCCTGGTCCATCAGTGAATCCCAGGAATTGTGCTTTCCTCAACATTGGCTGCCTAATTCAGAGCAGGACTTGGGACAAGGCTTCAGCTTCTCCTGCTGGATTTGGGGGGAGCTTTCTGCAAGAGAACGTTTGGAAAATCAGGCTTTAACGTCCAGGGCTGGAATTGATGATCTCAGAGGTCCTTTCCAACCTTAATCCCTCATCTTTGCTTCCCCTTCACTTTAACTCTGATGTTTCTCTATGTTTGGGGTATATCCAAATATTCAAAAGTTCAAAACTTCAAATCCAAGCCAAAAGGAATCTCAGTCACTATAACTTTTCAAAAGCCAAAAAAAGGCAAATGAAGAGGAAATTAGGATGTGTAGAAGTCCCTGGATGTCTCCAGAGCAGCCCAACAGGGCTTCAATCACATCCTAAAGTGTTTATTTGGTTATCAGAAGGTGGAGGGGCCAGGAACAGGAATTCCATTTAATTCCTGCCTTGATTTGGGTTCTGCTTTCCTACAGCTTCTCCACTGTCCATGGAAGCAGAGTGGGAATTGCTGAATTCCAGGATTGTGGGGCTCTCCCTCAGAGTCTGCTGGATTTCTGAGTCTCCCACAGCTGAATTTCAGAGACCCTCCAGGTTGGTACCCACAGAGACCCCCTGGGTTTGTATGGCCAGACCCCCTAAATTGGTACCCCCAGAGCCCCCCAAGCTTCTCCTCTTGCTGGCTTCCCTTCCCATTTCTCATCCTGCTCCTTCCCCTTCCCTCTGGGACAGAAATCCACAATGGTTTTCCAAAGGAAGGGGGACAGTGGGGCTGTGTCATCCCCACTGACGTGTTCCCAGTTTTCCTAAGTCATTTCTGCCACATAAGGAACATTTTCCCACTGAAACTTACAAGGGAGGAAAAGAATGAAAATTCCTTTCCAGGGATGAACAAACAAAGAATGTTGTTCATCCCTGGAAAGGCTCATCCACAAAGGCCCCTCCTCACAAAGGCAGACAGGTGAGAACCCACCTTTACACATCAAAACACAACTACAAAGTGTTGAATTTGCCATGTTAATTATCATCCCAATATTCTTCCCTTTTTTCGGGTCTTTCAGGCCTGCTTTTGCAGGAAAAAGGATCAAACATGTGAAACTCGGGTCTGGAGGAGATTTTTTTATTGACTTTGAGGCTCCAGGGAAAGAATCAAGTGTTCAAGGCAAGGGAGCAGCAAAAAGGTGGTGTTGGTTCCTCCTGCTTCCCATTCCCTTTGGAAGCTCCAGCATTTAAAACTGGGAAGGCTGAATTCTCTGAAAACCAGATCAATCTCCTTAAAAAGGGCAGCGCAAGGAGTGACTCCCACAACCACAAGAAATACGAGGAAACTTGAGGTGGTGCCTCAGGTTCAGACAAATCCACAGTTCCCTGCTTTCCTCAGAGAGCAGCCCCTGAGGAGCCCAGCTCCCCCCAAACCCTCGTGCAGGACCAGCACTGGACATTCCAGGGAACGGGGAACAGCTGTCCAGCCCTTCCCATCCCAATCCCACCCAAAGGGGGCTCAGCCCTGCTCCAACCCAGCCGGGGAACTTCCCTACCCTGGGAATCCTGCACGGACACCCCCCTGCCCTGGCTGCTGGGAATGTGTGTCTTTGGAATCCTGGAATGGGTTGGGTGGAAAGGGACCCCAGAGCCCCTGCAGTGCCACCCCTGCCATGGCAGGGACAGCTCCCACTGTGCCAGGCTGCTCCAGCCCCAGTGCCCAGCCTGGCTTGGGCACTGCCAGGGATGCAGGGGCAGCAATTCCAGCTCGGAGCTCTCCCTGGATCTTTCCCTTCCCTCCCAGCCGGGCTCCATGGGATGCGCCACCCTGGGCAGGTTTTATTCCATGAAGAGAATCCATAAAGGTCTCTTGGATGCTGCCCTGTGCACCCCCCACCCCACAAAGATCCCACTTACCCCAAATCTCTGCTCGGGCTCCGCTCCCCTCTCTGTTCGCTGCCTCCACCCCAACCCTGATCCCCCTGTCCACACCCCCAACCGTGATCCCGCTTTCCCCTGTCCATTCCTGATCCAGCTTTTCCCTCTCCATTCCTAATCCCGCTTTTCCCTGTCCATTCCCGATCCCGCTTTTTCCTGTCCATTCCTAATCCCGCTTTCCCCTGCCCATTCCCGATCCCTCTTTTTCCTGTCCATTCCTTATCCCGCTTTTTCCTCTCCATACCTTAAGCCTCTTTTCCCTGTCCATTCCTAATCCCCTCCGTTCCCATCCTTAATTCCCTTTCCACTCCGCCACCCCCGATCCCCTCTCTCCCCATCCCTGCTCGCTCCACACTCCCAGTCCCTGACTCCCCTTGTCACCTCCCTGTTCCCATTCCCTCTCCCAATTCCCGACCCTCAGCCCCATCCCCGATTCCCCGTTCCCTCTCCCCATTCCCGCTCCCCTCCTCTCCATCCCGGCTCCCCTCACAGCCCCGCTCCCTGAGGCGGAGTGCCCGTGCCCGTGGCGCACCT